TTCAGGAGGTTTCTAAATGTGCATGGTACTGTCACGGAGGCAACCTGCCAGAGACGCAAACTTCAGAGGCCCCTCACATCTGAATGACACGATGTGAGTATAAGGGAGAGGACTGTTTTCCAGATAAACAATGTTTGGGTTGGAGTGTCTGACAAAGGAACATGGAGAACCAGAACGAGATGGGGGTTTTTAATTAGGTCTTTAAATTCAAGAAGACACTCAAAATGCCACTCGTTTCTGACAATCTGGTGCTCTCTTTTCTTTTTCCAGAAGCTACAATGTTCCCTGCACTATATCTCAGAATACAAAACAGCACTTCCACATAGTGAGGTGGTGTTCCCCACTCCCCAGATGTCCTGCTGAACAGGGCGCTCCAGCGAAGCACGGGGGTGGGAGGCAGGGGCTGGGGGGTTAGCAGCTGAATGAAGCCACTTAACAGAATGGTTTATAGGCCTGGGACTTCAGTTAGTTAATGAGACAAATTCCTCCTCTGTGTCATCTATTTCCCGGGAGACTTTTGCCTTTCTGGAAGCGATACAAACTCTCTTGCAGGCCGTTAGGATTCCACACAGTTATTTAATACCCTTGTGGGAATTGCTTTATCATTTTAAATCATAGATCAGCAAACATTCTCCATAAAAGGCTGGATAATAAACATTCTCAGCTCTGCAGGCCATATGGTCTCTGTCACAGCTACTCAACTCTCCCCCCCCACCCGGCACAAAAGCAGCCCTCGATAATATGTAAACAAATGGGACTGATTGTGTTCCAATAAAACTTTATTTATGGACACTGAGATTTGAGCTTCATGAAATTGTCACAAATGACTAATTAATGTTCTTTTCTCAATTTTTGTTTAAGGATTTTATTTATTTCTTCATAAGAGACACACACAGAGAGAGGCAGAGAAATAGGCAGGGGGAGAAGCAGGCTCCCTGCAGGGAGCCCAATGCGGGACTCTATCCCAGGACCCCAGGATCACAACCTGAGCCAAAGGCAGTCGCTCAACCACTGAGCCACCCAGGTACCTTCAATTTTTTTTTCAACTGTTTAAAACCATAAAAACGTGTCTTAGGCCATGTGTCAGATGAAGATAGACAGTGGACCCGATTTGGCTTGGGGGGGCCAGAGTTTTCCAATCTGTGCTTTAAGTCAATAATTGACTAATAAAATAGAAACAAAATAGAAATACCAAGATAGCTATCAGCCTCCCTCTCTCACTTAAGCCTTAGCAAGCACTCAAAAATGTCAGCCATAAGTGTTGTGATTAGTCATCTGGGACATGTTTGGGAATGAAGGTCAGCATGTAATTGTTCTACTCAGTACAGCCTGAAATCCCTCAGCTGATGGCACCGACCCTGCCCTGATGCACCAATGCTCTCCGCGCTGCAGGAGACATCTCTGTCTGCCCTCTGCTTTACCCGCCATCCCTGGAAAGATCCCTATCTCAGAACAGACAGAGGAGGACAACCTAACTCCAGAGCTTGGGTGACAGCAAGTAAGGATTTTCTTTCCTTCCTCGCTGTGACCTAGTTATTCACAAAGACCCATCCTCTACTAGAGAAGAGGGATAAGAAGCTGGCGTGGCCCTGGGGCTCCTAGTTGTCATTTTATGCTTAAAGGTACTTCCTAGATGGAAGTAAAATGAAGTATGGCCTTTGTGCTCATTCTCACCTATCATTCTCCTCCTCAATTCTTTCTCCTTCTTTCCATTTTTCCTTTTTGTCTTTTGAAGTAATGATTTAATATTCAGGTGCATTCTATAACCTCCCTACTCCAAGTGGGATGGTCCACCAACAGTAGGTACCCTGGAAACTTGTTAGAAACGTGCTCTTGGGGCACCTCAGTGACTCAGTGGTTGACCATCTGCCTTCAGCTCAGGGCGTGATCCCGGGGTCCTGGGATCGAGTCCCGCATCTGGCTCCCTGCAGGGAGCCTGCTTCTCCCTCTGCCTATGTCTCTGCCTCTCTCTGTGTGTCTCTCACGAAGAAATAAATCTTGAAGAATGAAAAGAAAGAAATGTCATCTTGGGGCCTGGGCTCCAAACCTACTCAATGGGAATTTGCATTTTGTCGAGGTCTCTGGGGAGTGCACATCACAGTCTGAGGGGCACCAGTCCTTATAAAATCCTCCTCACTCCCGAGATAGGGAAGAGCTCAGATCAAAACTCAGGTTTAAATCCTGTAGGGAAGTAGAGAGCTCACCTTCTCGAGATTATTCAAAACTGAAGAGCAAAACCAAGGATAGTAGCCAAAATCTAAAATAAGCAAGTGATGGGGCATCTGGCTGGCTCAGTCCTTGGGCATGTGGCTCTTGATCTCAGGGTGGTGAGTTTCAGCCTTGCCTTGGATGTAGAACTTACCTTAAAAAAAAAAAAAAAGAGTAAGTGATGCCCCTGTTTTGGTGAAAATCAGACTTTTTCACACTGGCAACCTTCAAAGTGGAAACAAGTTATCCAAGACCAGAGCATGATCGTTAAGGGCCTTCAGCACAGAGTCTCAGTACAAAGCTCCAGTGTGAAGGGAGAAGGACAAATGATATACATACACGCTCCATGCCTGGGGGTGGGGGTGACCACTTCACTGCAGAAATCAGAGAAGGGTAAGCACACTAGAGTTATTCCTTGATGTTCCGGAATATAAGAGAAAGGGCCTCAGTATGATGGTAAATGTTTAATAACCAGCTCCAGGGATGGGAGTGGGGGGCAGAAAGTCCTGATTGTCACCTTTTATCAGTTTTCATTGGTGTCCATCTTCCTCTTAGACTGATTTCAAACTACTGATGTGATGCACTGGAGGTGGAGTTGGAAAGAGAGCCACAGTAGCACACCATGCACACACAATAAACATGAACAAACTCAAACACATAATAACAGTAAATTGTAATAAAATAATTAGGAATTGATGAGTTGTATTTATCAACTTTATTTTTAATATAACTAGTTTAATTGTAAATTTATACAACTTAATTTTTAATAATGACCGTGTGTAACGAGGTCCAAATCTTCCTGACAATCAGCTCTCAGGAGGCAGTACAAGCAGACTCTAGCACATTTCTAGAAAAACAGCATCTTCACAACTTTGGAAGTTACAGGATGCTTCCAGGGATATCTGCCCAACACATTTGGGTTCCACCCCATTTATTCACACTGATGTCCTAGCAAATCTCTGTTCACAGATTGCCTTAAAAGAAAAGAAAAGAAAAAAAAAAAACCCTCTCACAGTTCATCCTGCAAACTTTCATTAAACTTTCTCAAGAACATTTCATTGGTGTCCTTTGTGTCAGATTATTTTAGTTGAGAATTTTTCAGTTTCCAGTTGGAACATTTCATGTGACTTACTACAACCATGAGTTAATACTCTCAGCTATGTTCCCCAAACACCATCTGAGCCTTGTTTCAACTTCATTCACAAATCCTTAATGCTCCTTGCTCGACAATTATAATGCTTCAATTTGAGTTTTATCCCATCTTTCCTCTCTTCTCAATTTTCGTGAAAGGAAAATTGACAGGTAACAACTATCTAAGCAGGAAGGGAGGCAGTGAAATGAGTTTAAATGCTATAAGAAAATAATCAGCCTCTTCTAACAGAGCTGACCAGTAATTTCCCAGGAAGGATCCAGGATTTTTACATTTCCAAGAATCCTTACTAGAATTTTCCTGGTGTTGTGGCTTCATGGACCCACTGAGTCAGGCCACCAGGTTCCTCATTCCAGATCACTCAGGAGCTAGCCTCCCCACCCCAATCTGAGTCATTCAACCTCTCTGAGCTTGGGTTTACAGCCTGTAAAATAAGGGGTTGATAGATGATGTCAGCTTTTTTTTTTTAAATTCTTGAAAATAAAAATTAATTAAAAATAAGGCAAAAGGGGATCCCTGGGTGGCTCAGGGTTAAGTGTCTGCCTTTGGCTCAGGGCATGATCCCAGAGTCCCAGGGATCGAGTCCCACATCAGGCTCCCTGATGGAGCCTGCTTCTCCCTCTGCCTGTGTCTCTGCCTCTCTGTGTGTCTCTCATGAGTAAATTAAAAAATCTTTTTAAAAGTAATAGGGCAAAAAAAGGAAAAAGAAAAATCTAGGAAAGAACTTGTTGCTTAGGTGAGGGGTCTTCCCGGTCTGTCTCTTTTGGCGGATTACACCATTTTCATTTAATTCTCTGCGACCAATATGCACAGCCCGGCACCTTCCTGACCACTAACAGCTCATCAAATGCAGTTTCCATAAAAATGACTTGCACGGCCCGTTTCGCGCCTGCCGAGCTGTCACGAACCGAAGGCCTGGCTGTCTTCATCCTGTGCTTTCTGGGTGCGTGACGGTCCTCCCCGGGTCGGCCTGTGACTCTGCCGTCGGGGTCCGTCTGTCTGTCTGCACCTCCCGCCCCTCGGAGCCGCTGGCGCCAGTCGGGCCCCCCTCGCCCCCCGCACGGCCCCCAGCGTCCGCGCCCCGGGCGGGTCCCAGGGTGCCTCACCGAAGGGCACGGAAGGGGTCCCCGCAGGGCGCCTCCGGGAGGGCACTTTGGAAAGCGGACTCGGCCGGGCGGCGGCTCCTCCCACCCCTCGCTCCCTGGGGTTCGCATCCGAGTTGTGAGTCCGGCGCCTCGGATCTCCCAGGTTCCAGTTACACAAGTCCCGCCGCCGCGCAGGGCCGGGGCCGCGTCGGGCGGTTTATTGTGGCAACAGTTCCCGGCAACTGCCCGGCTGCCGAGCGCCTCCAGCCCGGGCTCCGGGTGCGGGAGGTGGGAGAGGCGGGGGTGCAGGGGCTCGGCCGCGGGGGCGGGGGCGCAGCAGCTGGGGCAGGGGTGCAGGGGCGCAGCAGCGGGGGTGCAGGGGCGCAGCAGCGGCGGCGGGGGCGCAGCAACTGGGGCAGGGGTGCAGGGGCGCAGCAGCGGGGGCGGGGGTGCAGGGGCTCAGCAGCGGGGGTGCAGGGGAGCAGCGGAGGTGCAGGGGTGCAGCCGCGGGGGCGGGGGCGCAGGGGCGCAGCAGCGGGCGCCCCGGGAGGGCGAGCATGGGCTGCGGACCTTCCCAGGCTGCGGAGGACCAGAGACCCGTGCCCGCGCCCAGGAAGGGCTGGGAAGAGGGATTTAAGGTAAAACGAACACGCACGACATCGAAGCGGGCAGAACGCCTTTTGCCAGGCTCGGGGCGGGGAGGGGGGCTGGAGTGGCCTGCAGCTGGGTGCCCGGCAGTGGGTGGGCGGGCTGGGGGCAACTGCCCCCTTCCCGAGACTCATGCTGCCGGAGGCCTAGCTTTGAGAGCCTTTTGTGTTTCAAGAACCTGAGAAGGTGATCACACCTCAGAGCAGAGGCAGGGGGAGCAGGTGTGTTCTGTACGGAGCTGGGGCTGCTGAGGGGAGCTCCTGGGAGCCGTCACACTCCGTTGGCTTCCAGAAAGGGGGCCCTTTGAGGATTACTTGGCGCCCAAAGAGATTTTAGAGGCCTTCCGTCTGGCTGTGCCCTCTCGCTTCCCCCTGAGGACCCAGAGAGGTGGACGTCTTGCCTGAGGCTGCCCAGCTTATTTGGGGGCAGAGCCGGAAATAGAATCTGATTTTCAAGACTCTCATTCCAATGCTCTCTCTCTCTTCTCTCTTTCTCTCTCCCTCTCGGTTGCAAACCCCATGATTCTTCTGGAGACACAAAGGGGAATTTTTTCCAGAGTGGGGCATGGAGGGATGGGTTGGTCCCGGCAGAAATGAGCTCCAGGATGTCTCCCCATCCTCACCACCATCAGTATTCCACGAATGAAGCTGGGAACCCACAATGGTATACATTGGAGAGGGGTCACCCAAAGGTAATATTACCATATAATCTGCCATCAAAGCAAGATACTTTTAAGAGTGAAAAGGAACACTATTAACAAATTGGCCCAGCCTGATTTAAGCTCATATAGTATGCAGAAAACCAGGGTTTATGGTCACCCTTTCGAAAGGACCTTTTTGGAGTTACTGTCTAAAGAGCACACCTTTCATTCCATAGACAAACAGCAAGATGCCATTTGGTGCCACTTACAGCACCTACTGTGTGTGTGGCACATGTGCTGGGTTCTTGGAGCACATCATAAAACAAACCAGAGACTTGGGCTTAGGCCCTGGTGCCCACCCATGGTGACACTGTTTTCTATTTTCTATCCCAATTGCCTCTTCTGACTTTAGGGTCCTATTACCTCTTACTGGGTCTTCCTGTCTCTCCCATTGGCACCCTTCCCCATCTGCATCCTACACTACCACTTGTCTTTCTAAGAAAAAATTCCCTGGAGTGTGCAAAACCTTTTACACACATGGTCCCCTCCCATTGGCACCCTACCCCATCTGCGTCCTACACTACCACTTGTCTTTCTAAGAAAAAAATTCCCTGAGTGTGCAAAACCTTTTACACACATGGTCCCACTGGTCTTTCCAACATTATCTTGTCCAGTTACAAACACTTGCAGACTCTCGGCTCTGCCTCAGGAACCTGCAGTGCCCCTTCCTCCAGTTATCAACATGGTTTCATGCTGTTCCCCATGCCATTCCCTCTTCCTGGAATGCCCTCCCCAGCCTCCCATTTCCAGTCAGCTCACCTGAAGAATTCCTACTTATCCTTCAGCACTGAGCCCAAACACTACCCCTGTGATGCTCCCTTCTCACGTGGTAAATGTTTGTTTAAAGCTCCTTCTGGGGGCGCCTGGGTGGCTCAGTCCCTTAAGCATCTGCCTTTGGCTCAGGTCATAATCCCGGGGTCCTGGGATGGAGCCCCACATTGGGCTCCCTGCTTAGACAGGAGCCTGCTTCTTCCTCTGCCCTTTCCCTGCTTGTGCTCACACACCCTTTCTCTCTCTCTTACTTGTGCTCTCTGGCTCTCTCTGGCTCTCAAATAATAAATAAATCTTTTTTTTTTTTTTTTAAAAAGCTCCTTCTGCCTCAGAGATTTATGGGCTTCTTAGAAACAATTTGGTCATCTTTATTACTCATTACTGCTTTGGATGAATATATAGGAATACATTTTCTCCCTTTTTCCAAAAACTATATTAACGTGATTTAAAATATTAACTTATTGTGCCTTTGTCTTTTTTGTACGAAAAAATCTTTATTTTTTAATTTACTTTACTGTCATGAATGTGTATAAGACTTCCACAGAAGGAAATTTTCACTATTCGTGTTTCTTATCTGGCCATTATCATTTGTTTCATTTCATGGTTATTAATGAAAATGATGTTGTTGCATAGAGCAGGAGGAAATGCTAAAAAGACAATCCTCTGCATGTCAGATCCACTAGGTCCCTATAAGCCAAGCTTCCTCAGGCTTTGGAAGGTTTCTGTGTTTTTTCCTGAATTCCCTGGGTATGAAAGTCATTACCTCTCTGTTGGATTTTTGTTGAGTCTCCTAACTGGTCTCTCTAGATCCTTCCTCCGCTGCCCACCCCCACCTGTGCTCCAGGCTTCTGCATGACCTTGAGAGCAATCGTTCTAAGGTAAAATCTGATTATGTCATCCTCTGGTGACTAAACTGTTGCCAACCCATTAGGTAGTGATACAAACCAGTGGTCAAGAATATCATTACTTCAGTTTGATTTCTGGGTTCACTGTTAGCTGGGTGACTTTGGTCAAGTTATCTAACCTCTCTGTGCTTATCAGTAAAATGAGGGTAATTCTAATACTAGCTATTTTATAGAGTTGTCAACAGAGATTAAATCCACGGGAAATGATCATACCAATGCCTGGCACAGAATAAGTGTTTAATATGAGTTAGTACAACTGTCGTTATCACAGTGATTTATGTAAGATAAAATCCTAAATCCTTAGCGCATCTTACCAGCCATCCTTGAGCTGCCTCCTGTCACATTCCCCTGCTTCATCTCTTCCCACACTCATTTCTCATTCAAATCTCACTACTCATTGCTCTCCAAACCCATTCGGTCTCTATCTCCATGCTTTTGCACCTGTTGCTTACCCTCCCTTCAGACTCCCCCCTCCTCCCTGAGGGACCGCATGCAAATATATACCCATCTTTCAAGACAACTCAAGACCCCCTTCCTGCCTCTGTCCCCCTCTATTGCCACTATGCTGGCAGAGTTAACCTTACACCTTCTCCTACCATATATCAAAACATCTATTGTTTTTATTCTCTGTTTTCATATCTGCTTCCCATCCTGAGTTACTACCTTTTTGAGGACAGGAAATGGTTTTTTGTCTTTGTGTCTCCCATGCTTACTACAGTGCCTGATGCAGACCAGGCACTAACAAACATTGCTTGACTGACTCCATGTCCCTCCTGGCTCCTGCTTGGTATCTTCTTATCTCCTAGTCACATAACTAAACTAATGACAGTCAGCAAGGAGGAAATTCAATATTAAAATAGCCTGGAAATAGACTCAGAGTCGATTCAGGCATATCCCTCCTTCCCCACCCCAAACACTTTGACTTTGGAAATCTGATCCAGCAAATGTATGATTATTAATTAAACGCTCTCTAGCTATCAGAACACTGCTGCTTTTGCTAACTTCCTAAATGCACAGGCTGAAAGTTCAGTAGTTCACTGGTGTCTTTAAAATGAGATGAACATGGTTACTTGCTTGAAATATTTATGTTTCGTAGTGGTACAACTTTAAAAATTCTGGGTCGAACTTCTTGAGACCTGCCTACTGGCTTTCTCCTCCCTTGTATCTTAGTCTAAAGTGCTAAAAAGACACAGTAATAAAATAATGCATAATTAGAAAAACCCGGGAAACTTTTCTCAGTTGGAGAAATGTTCTTCTGTATGATGAACTCCGAGTTCCGGGCTTATTATGAGAGGGAAGAGACTAGATTGAAATAGATAATCTCTAAGGACCTTTCACAGATCTTACCTAATCTTTGACAAGAAAAGTCTTATTTATCACCAGTAAACAGGACTAAGTGACCTTGACCAGTCCAAAATTTTAAAAGATGATATTCCGGGGTGTTTTTTTGGAGGGTTGCTATTTGTTTTTACCACTCACTAGATGTAAGCTAGAAAAATCAAGTTTTGAAGCATACTTTTTCCCTATATGTCTAAAGACAAATACATTTATAAAATGCACCTGCCAATAATGTGATTTAAGATTCCAGCTCAGAGGACACTTGATAAATGACTCCAAACTGGCAATGTGTTTCCCAAAAGCTTTAGAACACAACCTATAGTACCTCCAGACCCACAACAAACAAAACAACTCTTTCTGTAGTTAAAAGTAATACCTTTTTTGGAATGCTGATGGTTCCCATGTGTAGCTGCTAGCTTAGCATTCACTGCTTTCCAATTCTGTCTAAAATTGATAAGATTTGGGATGCCTGGGTGGTTCAGTGGTTGAGCATCTGTCTTTGGCTCAGAGCATGATCCCAGAGTCCTGGGATCCAGTCCCATATCGGGCTCCCTGCATGGAACCTGCTTCTCCTTCCTCTTCCTATGTCTCTGCCTCTCTCTCTCTGTGTCTCTCATGAATAAGTAAATAAAATATTTTTTAAAATATATAAAACAAAATAAAATTGATAAGATTTTATCCCCAAGACAATGATGTATAAATCATTGATGTATGGATCATTGATGTATGGAATCATTGATATATGGAATCAATACAAAATATGGAAACTTCTTGAATCTGTATTTCTGCCACAACTGTATCTCAAAGAAAAAATAAAACCTCCCACCCACCTCCCCACCCCTTCCGCCAGCACCATGGCTGATAGACTTCTCATTGGTGTGAACATATACACCCTGCATGAATTAAAAAGAACAAGAAAACTGTTTGCCATATCCCTGAGAGGCATAAATAATATAATTAATTTGTAAATATCTCTGGTCTTTGAACTCTGTCTATTCTCAAGCCTAGATTATGAAATTTGGTTAAAATTTCTGGAATGTGTTGCACATAGATAAGATATTTGAAAGGCATTCTTAGTTTTCCAAAGAGAAAAACTTGACATTTCTGCTCATGAGGGCTGAAGGCTGGTATATGTTATTTTATGTCAAAAGATTGTGTTTCATCTGTTACCATTTAAGCTGTGGTCGCTAACAGATCTTGAAGGCAGACTGGATCTAAGGAAGCATACATGGGTGAAGCTTTCATGGCTTTGATGAAGCCATTGGGAGATCATTATGGGTTGTGGCACTTGTGAAAAACTACCATTGAGATTGAGAATATTCAAATTTGCTCTCAGCTCCAATATGGGCATTTTTGTTGTTGTTGTTTAATTTTTCAAGGTCTCCAATGGGAAATGTTAAATGGCAAAATTCATCCCTGTGTTTAACTCTGTGCCTTGCTAGGCTCAAGAAACAAAGGGTGTGCAAAACAAAACAACTTGTGAAATTACCTGTCAGTGCAGATGCTGGTTTTTAGTATTTTATTTGGAAAGAGGGGCAAGAATACCTAACACGATCTTTGCTTTACCTTCAGTATGAACTGTGAGCCCCTGAAAAAGCATCAGTCTCCTTTCCTTTTGTTATATGTAACAATATATATTTTCATATATTTGTGATATGTGTGTGTATAAATGTGTCTGCGCACGTGAAAGAGAAAGACTCTGATAGAATAAGATTTTAGTTATAGGGTAATTATAATAATACATAATATACATTAGGACTTTTCCTGGGTCAGCTTTCTGTACAGGAACTACACGGCAGTAGCTGTGTCTATGAAGAAAGACAAACAGGGAGGGAAAGAAAAGCACATAGTTGCTCTCATGCTTTCTCCTTATGCCATTTGTATTTCAATTCTGTTGACTTTTTGTTTGCTTACTGGTTTGTTTGTTCAGTTGGTCGCTTTTCCATGCCTTCCCGTGTAATCTTGAAGCACAGAACTAATTAATCCTCAGCACAATGAAGTGATGTTGATTTAGCTGGAGCGATTGTGCAATGTAAAGATGGTGATAAGGAGCTATGTGGGTCTCCCTACGAACATAGGAGAATCCCTAATTGAATGACAAGAACCTGAAGGTGTTGGAGCTGCCATGACCTAGCTGCTGTGATCTCTACTTTAGCCTCTGAGGGATTTGAAAGCACTTTGGAGAGCTTCCAGAAAGTGAACAAACGTGCTTATATATATATTTTTAATTTCCATGATTTTTATTGTGGGAGAACCAAGAGTTTCATGCTGATGTCCTATTTCTTTAATTCAGTTTTCCCGAAGGAAATGCTTTCTGTTTAGTCCCTGGAGTCATAACTTTTAACCAGAGAAAACCCTCTCCTTTAAATGGAAGCTCTGAGGAGTGTGCTGTCTTCCTTCCTAATGTTTCTCGGCCCATCTCTATTTCCCAGTGTTACTGCCACTGTCCTGGTTCATATTCTATAGGACCTCACCGGGACAATTGCCATCATTGTTACTGGCTGCCCTCCTCTGTCTCTTCATTGCTTCCTTCAGCTACCCTAGTTTGCACTAACCCCAGTGATTTTTCTAAAAACACATTCCTGATCATTTTATTTTACTTCCTTTGTAGGATTTCTGTTACATTTAAAATAAAATCAAACTCTTTAACTTCTCTTTCCTACCTCAGCACCTACCCTTTCTGCCTTCTTCTGATTCTGCTCCACTGGAATAATTCAAGTTCATATGCTCACAATATTGTTTCATATCCTGGCTTCGTTTGTGCTTAGCCTCTGTCTAGAATGCCCTTTTCATCTTGCCAACTGGAAACTCATTCATCAAGACCCAATTCAAGCATCTTTTCTTCTTCAACACCTTCTGCTGCCCCCAACAAGATACAATGTGGTATTTAGTGTATCAGGGCATTGCTGGAAATAGTGGGGTTCGGAGGTGGGGTCCTGGGCCCTCAAATACTCAGAGGAGAAGAAGAATTGGTTAAACAAATTGTGGTATATTATGTAATAGACTATGCTACAGTCATCAAGTAAATGACTACTCCCCACCATTAAGGAGAATGAGGTAGACCTACATATACTGATATAAGCAAATGTCTCTGATATATTGTTAATGAAAAAAAAACAAGTTACAGAAATATAATACAATACCATTTAATATATACCCTGATTTATTTGATTCATAAATATCTTTATTAAAATATAATCCACATATCATACAATTCACCCAGTTAAAATGCACACTCCATAGTCATCACCACAATCTAATTTTAGAGCAGTTTTATCCTCCCCACAAAAGAAACCACTATCCATTAGTGGCCAACCTCCACTTCCTAAGCAACCACTAAATTTATACTCTGTTTCTATTAATTTGCCTATTCTGAATGTTTGGTAAATGGATCGATCTTTACATCTGGCTATTTTCATTCAGCATAATGTTTTCAAATGTCACCTATGTAGCAGCATACATCAGTACTTTATCTCATTTTACTGCCATATAATATCCCTTGGCCTGGATAGACTACATTTTATTTACCCGTTCATCAGTTGCTTGACATTTGGGGTGTTTCTACTTTTTTAGATACTATGAATATTAATTTTGAACATTTGTGTGCCAGGTTTTGTGTAGACATATGTTTTCATTTTGCTTGGGTCTATATACCTAGAAGTGGAGTTTTGGGATCAAAGGCTAACTCTCTTTTTGACTTTTTGAGAAAACTGTTTTTCAAAGTGGCTGCACCATTTTACATTCCCACAGCACTGTATGAAAGTTCCATTTTCTCCACATGCCTGTTCACACTTATTCTGTGGTTTTATCATTATAGTCATCCTGGTGGAGGTGAGGTAGTCTCCCTTTCTGGTTTTGGTCTTGCAGTCCTTACTGACTAGTGAAATTGAGCATCTTTTCAGGTGCTAATTAGCCAATTCCGATTTGTTTTTAAAGATTATATTTCTTTGAGCAAACACATCTGAGAAGTTACATACTAAGATGTTAATAGTGCATCTGTCTAGGGAATAGTACTTACTTTCTACTGTGTTTCTGATCATTCTATTTCTACCAAAAGAACAGAATCAAAATTATGGCTGGGGGCTGGATAGATAGAGAGAGAGATAGATAGATAGATAGATAGATAGATAGATAGATAGATAGATAAATGCATTACAAGGAATTGGCTTATGCAATTATGAGGGCTGGCTAGGCAAGTCCAAAATCCACACAATAGCATAAGTGGTCAGAAAGGAAAGGCTGGCACTGAAGGTGCAGTCCACAGAATGAACGCCTTCCTCAGGGAAATCTCAATTCTACTCTTAAGACCTTCAACTGATTGGATGAGGCCCACCTGGATTATCAAGGATACTCTCTTTTACTTAAAGTCAACGGATTGAAGACATTAACCACGTTTACCAAATACCTTCACCACAGCACCTAGATTCATGTTTGATTGAATATTAATACTATATGGACTAGCTTAGTCAACACATAGACTGATCATCAATAATTTCCTTCTATATTATTTATGTTTACAAGGAGCCTGTATACTTTTTTAATCAACAAACACAATAAAGATACTTTCACTTAAAAAAACCTTTTTTTTACACAACGATATCTTTACTTTTCACACTTAACGTTTTCATTGTGGCATCATCTGGGGTGCTCAGCATAGTAGCTTGTATCTGATAGATTCCTGTAGACACTATATTCATTTCTATGGCTGCTATGACAAATTATCATACATTTGGTGGCTCACTACCATACAGTTTATTTCTCTTCCACTTCAGGAGATCTGAAGTCCACAATCAGTTCCACTGGGCTCAAGTGAAAGTGTTGGCAGGGCTCTTTCCTTTCAGGGGCTATGAGGAAAGAATCCTCTTCCTTGCATGTCCTGGCTTCTAGAGTTGCACTGCTCTCACTCCTTGGCTGGTGGCCCTTCCTCCCTCCGCTGCCAGTAACATCTTTGATGAGTCTCTGCATTCCTGGCACATCACCTTCTCCACTTCTGTAGTCACGTCTCTGTCTGCCTCCGCCTTGTAAGGACACTGGTGGTTACACCTGGGTAATCCAGGATAATCGTGCTATCTCAAGGCCCTTAAAAAAACTGTTTTCTAAGAAATCCTGACTCTCATGAAGCGGTTCCCTTTTCGCAGGCTGACATCCCCGTGACTCATTCTGGGGAGGGCTGCAGGCCCCAAGATGAAGCTGCATTTCCCAAGGATTCAGGGAGCAGCCTCAACGGCCTGGAAAACCTGGGAAGCTTACCTGGAACCATACCAGAAAGTTCCCCATCACTTAGTGAAAGAAATGGAAGAATAAATTCAGGTAACAGCCCTCATTTTTATATTCATCACTACATTGTATGATGTGTGTTCACAACCCTTTCATCACAGTTTTGTGGGCCAGGCAATGCCCCAGGTGGCAAAGTCCCTATCTCTGAGACATTAAGGTGTGGCTTTAGGCCTTCATTATTTAAATAAATAATGCTAACCATTAATCATCTTGTAGATAAAGCAATTGAAACCATCTTGGGGGATGCTGGGGAGGTGGTTCAGTGGTTGAGCGTCTGCCTTTGGCTCAGGTTGTGATCCCGGGGTCCTGGGATCGAGTCCCTGCAAGCCTGCTTGTCTCTCTGCCTCCTCTCATGAATAAATAAAGTCTTTCAAAACACACACACAAAACCATCTTGGTTTTTTTCTTTTTCTTTTCCTTTTTTTTTTTTTAAGCTGAGAGCCCCTGCTGGCAGTTGGGAATAGGCCTTGGGAATAGGAGTTACACAGGTTGTGGTGAAATTCCTGTAAACTTCTGCTGTATTCACATCTCTCCAAGAGAAAGTTCTACATTTGAAAAAAAAAAAATAAAGGAAACCTACATCAAACTGTTTCCCCTCTGTCTCCCATTCAAAGGATCACCAAGTATACAAAACAATCATCTTTCAGAAACACGGAACAAGTCATTATGACCTGGTGTGCCCCTTAGAAACTATTTTGGTTTTTCCCATGGTGGTTTTGGCTTTACTGAAGTTACCCCCCTGGTGTTGATTGAAGAGCCCTTAGTTATATTTTGTCAGCTTCTGAGACAAACTGAACTAGACAGAACTCAAGGGAATGTGCTCTGTTTTATTTGAGGGGAAGGCTTTCGTGTCACTCCTCACCACTGTCCTGTCTTCCCTAGGAAATAGATGGGTTTGTAAATGAGATTCTTTCCCTTGGACTTTGGTGGCTCACTCTACTTGTGATAGATTTCAGATTAGCCTTGATCTTGTGGTTCTGATGTGAGGCAGACGTGACCTCAGAGGACGGTAGGAAGGGTGGGGGGCGGACAGCAGGGAGGCCCCTCCTCTCTCTGTGTGTCAGGCCAGAATGTATAGTTCCTCTTGCTGATAATTCTGTCGCTGGGAATCCCTCCTGGACAGTGTCTATGGCGCTCACAGACTGAGGACTGTCAGGTGCACAGGGACCTGGGGGTACCATCAGTCACTCTGTCCAGCGGGCTAGTGCTGTCAGACACACCAGCCTGTAGAAGGAGTGGAAATATTCAAGCAGGTGTTTCCAGGGGCACCTGAGTGGCTCAGTGGTGGAGCATCTGCCTTCAGCTCAGGTCCTGGGTTGAGTCCCCCGTTGGGGTCCCCGCAGGGAGCCTGCTTCTCTCCCCTGCCTATGTCTCTGCCTCTCTCTCTTTGTGCCTTTCATGAATAAATAAAGTATTTGAAAAAATAATAAAGCAGGTGTTCCCAAAATGTGTTGTAGATTAGTTTCCAGGAGAGACCTTGCCATGGAATGAAGAAGAACCAGTGCCCTAAGCTTTATATTTGTCCTCTGCCTGATTTCTTCCCTGTCTCTTTTCTGCATCCCTGCTCTGCTCATCTTTAGAGTATTTGTTACAGATTTCAAGTTTCACGGGAACACTTCCCAAGTCTTTCCTTTAAAAAAAAAAAAAAAAAACTTCTTATTATGAATAATGTCAAATGTAAGTAAAGTTGCAAAAAAACAAATACCTGTATTCTTTCCCCCCAGATTCCCTAAATGCTAACATTATGCCACATTTGTATGTGATATAATTGCATGGATCGTGGTCCCTCTCTGTCCCTCTCTCTCTCTCTCTCTCACACACACATAGATTTTTTTTTCTGAGAGCAAATCCTAGACATAATGACACTGTACTCCTAAGTACACCAGTATGTTTCCTAAAACAAGGATAGTCTTTGTATAATCACAGTACAAGGATCACAATCAGCAAATTACCCCTTATGCAGTGCATTATCTCATCTGCATATTCAAATTGTATCAATTGTCTCACAAATGTCCTTTATAAATAAATTTCCAGTTCGAGATCTAATCCAGAATCTCATGTTTAATTTAGGTATCATCTGGTCTTTTTCTTCTTTTATCTGGAGCCAGTCCCTCAGTTTTTCTTTGTCTTTTATCAGATTGATGTGTTTGGAGATATAAGCCATTTTATTTGATAGAAACTACCTCAGTTTGTGTTTGTCTGATATTTCCTCACGATTAGTTTCAGGTTATCCATTTTGAGCAAAAGTATCAAAAATGATACTGTACTCTGTTTAGTATATCAAATCAGGAGGTTCGCAATATCTGCACTTGAACTTTATTGCTTTTTTTCCCTTTTTTGCCTTGCAAACTGTTTTAGTGTAAAATTTATCAATCTTTTCTTTTACTGAATCTGGATTTTGAGTCATAGTTAGAAAGCCTTTTCCTATGCCAGAGTTAAAGATGAATTTACTTTCGTTTTCTTGTATAGCTTCACTCTTGACACTTATGAAGAATTTTTAACCTTGTGAGAAAATGCTAATTTATATGTTAAGTGCATAGGAAACATAATTGTATGTTCAGTATGATGTCAAATTTGCAAAAATAGAATTTGATATATCAATAGTGGTAATCTCTGAATGGTAAGAGGATCGCATTTTTTTTCCTTTTTTAATTCTTTTCTATATTTCCCAAGTTTATTATGATAAGCATGTACTACTTTCATAAGCTGAAAGAAGCTTAATGTCACTTTCAAACACTCCTCCAATCGTCTTCAGTGTCCCAGGAAATCATGAGGATTTAGTTGCAATGACTGCCATAGCAAGGGGTCTCTCTGTAGGTTAGCCACTGTCAATGTCAAGCCAGCATTTGGGTGGACTCAGAAAAATAATTGATTGAGATAGTTAATTATTTTTTTATTTCATAATCATCTTAATAATGTAACAATTGTATAATGTTAGTGATAGTCATCAACGATGACATTCTCTTTAGAAACATCCTGGGAGGGAAATGGACCACACAGTGGAGCTCTTTCCTTGACCTTAGGGAATGCAGTGAGGTGGCTGAGAACATAGGTACTGAAGTCAGACATTCTTGGATTTAAATCCTAGTTGATTCTCTTCCTACTCATGTCACCTTCCGCAAGTTAATTCACCTCTCTCATATAGTTTATTTATATGATAGAGAATCATAGAATTCACAATGTTATAAAATAAATAAAGTATCTAATATGATGCCAGGCACATAAGTGCTCAGTAAATAGTTAACTATTATTTTGACCTTTCCAGATAAGCCCACCTTCTAAAAGTAAAAAAAAAAAAAAAATCCTTCTGGGATGCCTGGGAGGCTCAGTGGTTGAGTGTCTGCTTTTGGCTCAGGTCGTGATCTCGAGGTCCTGGGTTGGAGTCCCGCATCAGGTTCTGCGCAGGGAGCCTGCTTCTCCCTCTGCCTATGTCTGCCTCTCTCTCTGTGTCTCTCATGAATGATTAAATAAATATCTTTTAAAAATCCTTCTAATTCTTTGAAGATAATTTACCTCTTTTTATTGAGTTTTTTTTCTATTGTTTCAAGCTCTAGCTTACTAGTTTACCCACCGGAAAGACATGCTTTACCGTTCTGTACTAAAATCTGTATATAGCTCTTTAAAGTGAACATTGAGTCTATTTCAAACACTAGAAGACACAGCACTGGACGAGAAATGAGATTATAGTTGATTTGTTGAAGTTACTTGCATGGTCAATTAGAGAGGTCTCTTGTAACAACAAGGTGAATATTCTGAAGTGAGAGACATCTGGTTAGTGTGAGTGTGTGTGTGTGTGTGTGTGTGTGTGTGTGTTTTGCAATCTTTTCCCTGCACATTCATGAAAACTGTCTTTGTTAACCAGTGAGATCAGTTTTCATAAAAAGACTCTCTACTAGATGGGATGAATTTGGTTAGTCTCAGGACTTCGCAATGATTACAAAATAGAAGGTACCTCATGTCTGAGGACTCCTCGTTGCACCTTTATTGTATGATGTGAGTCTGTAAAAACAGATGCTTGCTTGCTTGCTTGTAGAATTGGGTGATTTGTAGTTGGGGGGAGGCTTAGTACAGGTTATAAAGGCTTCCCAAGAAAATGTTTCAGTGCCATCTTTAGAATCAATAATAAATTTTTAGCTGATATCATTTGACTTCAATTGTGATTTGGTTCAAAGACCCTTTTCAAAAAAGCATGCTCTTACATAGATTTAGCAGATGGCGTCATTGTAAACTCAAGGTTGCAGAACTAGAAGTCTCTTGGCAACATCACACTGTTTATCCTTTGTATACAAAGCATAGAAACCAAACTGCAACTCAGAGGAGTCACTGGAAGGATATCTTCTGCTTAGCTATGCTTTAGCTTCATAATTAGTGTAAAGAACCCAAGTAGTCATACTCAAGTGTATAAGTGTTGTTATAACAAAAACGTAGTACATAGCAGCACATGAAAAAGACTTTTTGTTATGTTAATATGGGGCCTGCTAAGTAAATAGTATATTATGCTGATGTGTATCCTCTGTAAGAACATTAAGAATTTGAACTTGAAACGATTCAAAGATTTATATTGGAAACATATGTAGGTAAGAGTGTTGAGATTAAGATTTAGTTAAGTAGCATGATTTATAAGGCATCTATTTAGCATCTGATTGATAAAATGTTCATCTTAAATTTTTATTCCTTCTTTTTTCTTTTCCCTTAGACCTAGTGACCAGTGGATTAATCCATAAACCCCAACCCCTAGAAAGCCGAGAGCGACAAAAGTCATCAGACATTCTGGAGGAATTAATTGTTCAAGGAATAATACAAAGCCACAGCAAAGTATATAGAAATGGAGAATCCTATGATGTCATGGCAAGTAATTCCATAATTAGCATTAGCTTATTGTTAATAATAGCAATAAAATATGATCGATCACGAGTTAGAATCTCCAAAATCTTCGAGTCAACATGCAGATTGTGACCTTTAGCTAAGCCAGTTTTTCTCCCATAAATTCTCTCACCTGTCAACACATCACCCTTCTCTACAGATTTAGGAAGTACTCTATTCATTTTTTAAAGCTTATTTATTTAAGCAATCTCTACATCCAAAATGAGGCTTGAATTCATGTTCCCAAGACTAGAGCTGCATGTTCCACTGATTGAGCCACCCAGACAGCCCAAGAATTACCCCAATCTTCAATGATTAATTTAGAGTCCAACAAAACATATCTTGGGTTTTACTGAATTTGAGAGACAGTAAGCCCCATTGAATAACATACCTTCATTCTTTGAACAATTTTTATTAAGCATTGCCTGTATACTAGGTATTATGACTATAAAACTGAACTCTGATTTAAGGAAAATAGGAAATAGGAAAATAGGCATGACTGCCAAAACTATAATAGATATGCTTACACATTTATATATACACAACCTGGGGTCAAACATAAGAAAATGAATACAATGACAAAAATCCTCATATTCTTGGTTTTTTTTTTTGTTGATTCATTGTTGATTCATCCAACTGATCATCATAGTGTGAACAGTATTTTAATTTTGATTTTAACTGGTTGTCGCCCAAGTCTTGAGTCCTTAATTTTTTAATAAGTTCTGTCTAAACCCATGAAGAGGACAGCAGGTTTTGTTGTTGCTGCTGTTTTGTTCTGTTCTCTCCTTTGTTTGCTTGTTAACCAAAGCTCTCAGGCAGCCCTAGTCATCCTCAACAAGATGAAAAGAAGAATTAAGGAGAAAAGAAGCCTAAGGAGAAATGAATGAGAAAGAAAAGAAAGACACAGAAATGATGGAAATAGGGACCAGAGGTTAACATCAAAGGCTCCTCCATGGTTGCCCATCCCAGTCTTGTAGGGAAAACAATCAACTGGGAATACAAAAAAAAATGCATTATATAAATCAAGTTTGCCACCTAGACCAAGTCACTTAAGTATTTGAATAAAGGTAATTTCCTTCTCTGTGTGTAGGAAATGCTGAGAACTCATGAATAAAAGCCAAAGTGGCATTTTTCTTTTGAAAAAAGAAAATAAGTCCTGCAGAAGGTATTTGGGGAAAAGAGAAGAGATTGCTAAGCCTCATGAATGATATCATCAGGCTGCCAATAATAAGCGGATGTAGGGGGCAAGGAAAGGTAAAAAGAGATTATATAATGGAAAAGATAATGCCAGTAGAATGGCAGTTTACGTCTGGGCCACGCTATTGTGATACAAGGCACTTTAGAATGCCTTTTCTTATTTGAAAGTACTAGAAGAAGGGTCTTTAACATGGAAAAGGAGGGGAGAGATTTTTTTTTTCCTAGTTGTGGGTGAGTCTCCAGGGGTCAGAAAAAAAGGAAGTTGTGTCAAAAGGAAAAAGACAGGAGAGTAATCTGGAGGAGGATGGGTTCTGGAAACTTTCAGTAGCTAAGTGATGCCTCCTTTAGGGAAATGCTGTAGAATCCTGATGCTAACAGCAATGGGAATAGAATTAAAACATTTTTCAGTGATTCAAATGCCAGAGAGGAATGAGTTCAGACTGAGACCTTCCTTAAAAGGGCACTGACAAGGTTAATTAACATAAACTACGTTGTGAAAGAAATGTATCTATTGAAAAATGAAAACTATGGGCTTGACTTTCAATGACATCATTAAGTGAGCCCAGGATGGGGACTGTGTTCATATGATATAGAAATGGAATGGTTGTTAGGAGCCTAGTTGGAGTGTTCTCAAAAAGATTTAAATGTGGCAGGACCACAGAGGTAGGCAAGAATAACACATTTCATTTCTTTTGCTTTTTGCTTTGCAATTAGGTCGTGATGTCCCAGCATAATCCAGACCTGCAGCAACACAGCTACACAGCTGTGTTTTGTTGCTGAGGGCCGTGGTCCCTAACCTGGCTGCACATTCGAATCACCTCAGATGCTTTTAAAAACCCCAGTGCCCAGGTCCCACCTGGGAACAGTGGCTGGGGGTGAGCCCTGGCTATAGTGTTTTTGAAAGCTCCCAAGTGACTCCAGTGGACAGTCCAAGTTGAGAACCACCCCTGAGGATTCTACCAATGTGTGCACACAACCCTCTAATTCATCCTAAAGCTGGAAAGAATTACAGCTTTTTTTTAAAAAAATATTTTATTTATTTATTCATGAGAGACACACAGAGAGAGGCAGAGACATAGACAGAGGGAGAACTAGGCTCCCTGCAAGGAGCCTGATGCGGGATTCAATCTGAAGACCCCGGGATCACAACCTGAGCCAAAGGCAAACCTCTGAGCCATCCAGGCACCCCAGAATTAAATCTTCTGAAATTAAATTCCCCCATTCACTGTGAAAATGAACTCTAAAACCTTCCTGAAAATATGTTATTATAATGTTATAAATATGTTATCGTAATGTTATAATAACATATTTTCAGGTAGAGGACTAAGGGTATACCTAGGAATATATGGAAATGAAGGAGAGATAGAATGGCTCAGTGTCAGAGGTAGAGTCTCTCAATTCAGGTGTAGCTGAGAACAAATGTATATCAGACATCTTCATATTTTAGGAAAAGTTAGGAGGCCAATGTAGAAAGATGAGTAAATCCTGAAAGAAGGAACATACTGAGGGCAGAAATATTATTAGGCAGTTCACACTTTTAACTATCCAGTATTTAATAATATTTTTTCAGAAAAAAAAGAACAGATGATAAAATTGGCTAAAAATACAAACCAAAAGGATATTAATGTTAGTTACTACAGTGCGATGAAGCCAACTAGACATGTGACACAATTTCTTCTTTGGTACCAAAAAAAATCTTTTAAATCAAATATTAGGGGAGAAATGGAATGATAAATGTGAGAAAACTTTAAAAACAAGATTTCTTATATAGACCAAGAGTATAAATACAAGTGAGTGTTAGATCCATCCCCTTCTTTAATTTGCTTCTCATGCAGAGTGAAATATAAGAAAAGATGCTATAAACTGAGGGTCCTCCACTCATCCACTGAATAAGGAGACCAGCCTGCGGGCCAGTCTCTCTCCCCGGAGGCCCACATGGGTATCTGTCCACCTCAGGCTCCCCGTTCATCTTTTCTTCTTTTTATCATTTGCTTGTTGGCAAGTATTACAGCAATTCCCTAGTGCTTCCCCCTTCACTGCAGATAACATGCTTTCAAGCAGATTCGTACTAAGAGTTTACTCTCATTCGGAAGGAATTGTAATGATATGTAAAGAATATAATATTAAGCGAAATATCAGACAAAGAGTATCTTTCAGGATTCTTTAAAACATTCTTTTTTTTTATAAATTAATTTTTATTGGTGTTCAATTTACCAAAACATACTGATTAACACCCAGTGATCATCCGTCAAGTGTCCTCCTCCATGTTGCCGTCATCCTTTCACCCCCAACACGCCCTTCTCCCCTTCCACCACCTAGTATCATTTCCCTGAGTTAGAAGTCTTTATGTTCTGTGTCCCTTTCTGTTATCTCCACCTTTTTTCTCCCTTCCCTTTTAATCCCCTTCACTATTATTATATTCCCCAATGAATGAGAACATACAATGGTTTGCCTTCTCGATTGACTTATTATCAGATATACCCTCCAGTCATCCAGTTGAAGCAAATGGTGGTATTTGTCGTTTCTAATGGATGAGTAATTCCCATTGTTACATCACCCATCTTTTTATCCATTCATCTTGCGATGGGCACCGAGGGCTCCTTCCACAGTTTGGCTATTGTGGACATTGCTGCTAGAAACATCGGGTGTGCAGGTGTCCGGGTTTGTGGTGTTCATTGCATCTGCATTTGGGGTAAATCACTTAACAGTGCAATTGCTGGGTACAGGCAGGGTCTATTTTTAATTCTTTGAGGAACCCTCACACAGTTTCCAGGAGTGGTGCATAGTTCACATTCCCACCAACAGTGTAAGAGGGTTTCACTTTTCTCGCATCCTCTCCAACATTTGTTGTTTCTGCCGTATTAAATTTTCCCCATTTCATGGTGTGAGGTGGTATCTCATTGTGGTTTTGATTTGTATTTCCCTGATGGCAAGTGATGCAGAGAATTTTCTCAATGTGCATGTTGGCCATGTCTATGTCTTCCTCTGGGAGATTTTCTTCATGTCTTTGCCCATTTCATGATGGGATTGTTGTTTCTTTGGGAGTGTTGAGTTTAGAAGTTCTTTATAGATTTTTGGAAACTAGCCCTTTTATCTGATATGTTATTTGCAAAAATATCTTCTTTCCCAATCTGTAGGTTGTCTTTGAGTTTTGTTGACTGTATCCTTTGCTGTGCAAAAGCTTCTATCTTGGATGAATGTCCCAATAGTTCATTTTGCTTTTGTTTCTTTTGTTTTCGTTGGATGTATTTGCAAGAAGTTAAGTGGGCCAAGTTCAAAAAAGGGTGTTGCCTGTGTCTCCTCTAGATTTTGATGGAGTCTTGTCTCACATGTAAATCTTTCATCCATTTTGAGTTTATCTTTGTGTATGGTTCAAGAAGAGTGTTAGTTTCATTCTTCTGCATGTGGATGTCCATTTTCCCAGCACCATTTATTGAAGAGACTGTCTTTCTTCAGTGGATCGTCTTTCCTCCTATGTCGATTATGAGTTGACCATAAGTTCGGGTCCTTTTTGGGTTCTCTATTTCTGTTCCAATGGTCTATGTGTCTGTTTTTGTGCCAGTACCACACGTCTTGATGACCACAGTTTGTAGTACAACCTGAAATCTGGCATGTGATGCCCCAGCTATGCGTATTCTTTTTTAAATTCCCTGCTATGCGGTGGTCTCTACTGTTTTAAAAAAAATTCTAAGAGACCTAAGTGGTTGTATGATAAATATGTACAGACTTTACATACACATGTAGCTATGTGTTTGGATTGGTATAGATCTCTATAAGAGATGTAATTGGCTCTCATTAATCCACGTTGGTATCATCCATTTGAGGCATCTTTTATCCCAAACTCAATTCTCCCTGCCTCTTAGCACGCCCAGGGTCTCCAAACATAAGACTCTAATTTCTCTATTGACTCCTTCTGTCTCTGGTCAAAGTTGATTCCCTTCTCTGGGCAACTGCTGTGCTTGGTAACCTTCAGTGCAGTCAGGAAATTGATTCCTCTTGCATCAGAGTCTCTAACAGTATTTGTTGAACCTCATGGGGAGTTTTTGAAGGAGGAAAACGTGCACCTGGTAGGATTAATGTCAACTAATGTGGTGGCTTGGCCTGGGAGGTCTCACAGGGACAGGGCAGGAATGGCAGGTCTCCTAGAAGCTCTGACCCATTTGGCGAGGGAACATGGCCAAGGTGGGTTCATCTGCAGGTCAACCGTTAATTAGGGCAGCTCCAAGGAATCCAGAGTGGCTGCCAGCAAGGTTGGCTGGAAACAAGTTCCAAACCCTATCACAGCATCTTTGGGGTGGCAATACTTCTGCTGGTGTTCTTAAAGACAATAATTGAACTAGTAACTTCAGTAGGTTTTGTAGGCTGGTTTTTTAGAGTTTCTAGTAGTAGCACTTCTCTATGTGTAATGTGACCATTGTTATTTTTAAGTGCCAACAGTTGGTAAATCCTGACTTCATAAAATCCAGTGGAAAGGAATGCAGATATTTTCCTTGGGTCTTGCAAGGCTTTTACCTAAAATGTCAAACTCAGGAAAGAATGAAGGCTGCACAGGTAGGATTAACTTCCAGAAGTGAGAGGAAGTACTTGATTTTGTAGGTATAGCTAGGAGAAAGCCACAGGAAGAGTCCACCCAGACCAGAAATCCCAAGTCTCTCGGAACTTCCTATCTACTCCTTTAGTCAAGATTCAGACTTCTGTGTAAAGCCTTACAGTCTTTCTTCACTGAATCTGGGATTAGCATTTCATGTTCTTTTAGCCCTCGATGAGTGAACTTCCCTAAAAAACTGTTTTCATACTAATTTCACAGTATCTTTAGTTGAACCACTACAGCAAGAACATCCCTCTTTGCAGCAAATGGCTTTTGCCAGCAGGGAGCCTGAGAGCCAATTGTCATAAAAATAATACAGTGATGGGGGAGGGGGAGCTTGCTTTGACAAACAGCCCGCAGTTTTCATGTAGTGAAAAACTTCTCACCACATAAAACTGTCTGATGGCTGTAACTGAGCCAAAACTTCAACAAATGCTTCCCTCTGAAAGGCTTTCCGGGAATCATGGTTCTTAAAGCTGAAAGGAACCCCGTGGTTCTCACCCTCTTCATTATTTCTACATGTGAGGAAATAAGAATCCAAAGAAAAGAAGTACCTTGTCTCAGGTGACACCGTGGGAATTAGTGGTCAACTCAGGTTAAAGCTCAGGCCTCCTGCTGGCCCCTGTGATCTGGGTTTCCATTCCTACCATTCAAGACAAATACTGTAGCTTGGTGACGATTCTGTGTGCTGTCATTGAAAAAAGTCAGTGCTTGAAGACATGAACAGACATCTCTCCAAAGAAGACGTCCAGATGGCCAACAGACCCAGGGAAAGTTGCTCAACATCACTCATCATCAGGGAAATGCAAATCAAAACCAAAATGAGATGGGGCGCCAGGGTAGCTCAGGAGTTGAGTGTCCTCTTTGGCTCAGAGTGTGATCCCAGGATCCAGGATCAAGTCCCACATCGGGCTCCCTGCATGGATCCTGCTTCTCCCTCTGCCTGTGTCTCTGCACCCCCCCCCCCGCCTCTGTGTGTGTGTGTGGGGGGGGGAGGTCTCATGAATAAATAAAGAAATCTTTTTTAAAAAACCACAATGAGAGATCACCTCACACCTGTCAAGATGGCTAAAATCAAAAACAGAGGAAACAACAGGTGTTGGTGAGGATGTGGAGAAAGGGGAACCCTCGTGCACTGTTTGTGGGAATGCAAACTGATGTAGCCACTGTGGAAAAGAGTATGGAGGTTCCTCAAAAAATTAAAAATAGACCCCCCCCCACCATGATCCAGTAATTGTACTACTGGGATTTACTCAAAAAATACAAAAACAGGAATCCCTGGGTGGCGCAGCGGTTTGGCACCTGCCTTTGGCCCGGGGCGTGATCCTGGAGACCCGGGATCGAATCCCACGTCGGGCTCCCGGTGCATGGAGCCTGCTTCTCCCTCTGCCTATGTCTCTGCCTCTCTGTCTCTCTCTGTGTGACTATCATGAATAAATAAAATCTTAAAAAAATACAAAAATACTAATTCAAAGGGATACACGCATCCTAATGTTTTTACAAGCATCATCTATAATAGCCAAATTATGGAAATGGCCCAAGTGTCCATCAACTGATGAATGGATGAATGAGAGGTAGTATATATACACAATGGAATATTAACCATAAAAAAGAATGAAATCTTGCCATTTGCGACGACATAGATGGAGCTAGAGAGCATTATACTAAGAAATCAGCCAATCTGAGAAAGACAAATACCATATGATTTCACTCATATGTGGAATTTAAGAAACAAAACATATGAGCAAAGGGAAAAAAAAAGAGAGCACAAGCCAAGAAACACTCTTAACTATAAGAACAAACTGATAGTTACCAGAGAGGAGGTGGGTGGTGGATGGGAGATGGGGGAAACACATGATGGGTTCAGGAAGGCTCAGTAATGAGCCCTGGGTGGTGTATTTAAGTGTTGAATCACTAGATTGTACACCTGAAATAATATTACACTGCATGTTAACTATACTGGAATTAAAATTTAAAACTTTATTTAAAAAGTCACTGCTTGGGGGCTCGGGTGGTTAAGCATCTGCCTTCGGCTCAGGTTGTGATCCCAGGGTCCTGGGATGGAGCCCCATGTTGGGCTCCCTGCTCAGCAGGGAGCCTGCTTCCCCTCTCCTCCCACCCTTTGCCCCCACCCACCACTTGTGTTTTCTCACTCTCTCTCTCTCAAGGAAATAAATAAAATCTTTTAATAATTTTTTTTAAGATTTAAAAGTTACTGCTTTCCCTGAATGAAATGTAATTACCATTTCCTGAGTGATTACTGTATAACTCCTTAAAATAGAAAATCCCGTGAAATAAATGTTAACCCCATTTTTAGAATGATGAAAGCAAGGCCTACGGAACTTGAGAACTGCCACAAAAACACCCTGTGGCCAAGCCAGGGCTCAAACCTAGGTCTGTCTGAGTCTTGTTCTGGTATCTTTTTCTACTATGTTAGGCTACTACCTCTCTGTTGGATGTATTTTCTCAGTACTGGCAGTTTTACAGCATAAAGAGACGGTCTCTTAGACATTACATCGGATATCAATAGGTTCTTGATCTTTATGAGTCTTTAGAGAAATTGCCTAGAATAATCAGTTTATTTATAATGAAGCCCTGGAGTTCGTTGAGACCTTCCCCAGTTGTCATAAATCTATATAGTCTGACCTCGAAGGATGTCCGTAAGAAACCAAGTGAAGAAGGCAAATTGCAGAGCCTGGTGGGGGTATAATCCCATTTCTGTTTGGTTTAACGTTACAGATGTCCTGCACATACAAAGGTACATGAGTGTGGAGAAGACACACACCAGACTCTTTCAAATAGTTCATGCTGATGAATACAACTAGGGGCCAGGTGGTTAAACAGAAGACTATTTATATATCACTTTACTTTTTCATGAGCGACATAGGTTATGAAAAATTAATCTTTAAAAAGAAAAAACACGTATTTAGAACTTTCTTTACAAACCCTCTACAACAATTTAATTCTTTCATAACTGGAAATTGTAATCAGAACGTCACTATCGCTGCCTTGAACTACAGAGAGGGTAGTCAGTCATGTGAAATAGTTGGGGATTTGTCCTGCTGTCATGAGAACCTTCTCCAAGTACTGACAGCAAACGCTAGCCCAGTGTCCCTGCTCACTAATTGTGAATTCTCTCCCGCACGAGACCCAGAAAAACCCATCTCGATCCCAAATGAAAGGCATTTGGAGCCTGTGGAATATTACAATACTATCAGATGTAACTATTTTTTTAAAGATTTTATTTATTTATTTATTTATTTATTTATTTATTTGAGAGAGAGAAAGTACACAAGCAGGAGGAGGGGCAGAGGGAGAGGGAGAGGGGGCCTCCATCCCAGGCCCCTGCGATCATGGATCGAACCAAAGGCACACACTTAATGAGCTGAACCACCCAGGCGCCCCCAGATTTCAGTTTTTACCATGAACTACATGTTCATCGCTCATCTGCCTTGTGCTTCTTCTCCCAAATGTTTTCTTCTTTGAGTCTTCATGGGGTTCCAGAACACCTCTGCATTTTTTCATGGATTTCAGGAAGGGCCTGTTTTTTTTTCCCCTTCTAGGCTTCTAATAGATTTTTTTTTAAAGGAATTAGTTCTATTGTTACCAGCGTCCACACTGTGGTTTGTAGCTCTGCCAACATATCTGTTTAGATTCTTAGGATCGACGTTTGCACCGTGTGTTCTGCCCCCCTCCTGGCTCTCTCCTCCGCCAGTGAATACAGTCCATTTCTCCCTTTCGAAAACGGTCTTCCTCCAGGTAAGCACGACGACGCCGCTGAGAAAGCCACCAGCCAGGCTGAAAAAGCTTAAGATCAAAAAGGAAGCAAAGGCTTTCACGATGAATGATCTGGAAGAGAAGATGCGGGCGGTGGAGAGCCGCAGGAAGGTACCCGAGCTCCCCGGGAGCCTGCCTCCCCCTGACCTGCGCTCCGCGGGCCTTTCCCACCTGCTGCTCTAAGATTCGCATTAAGTACTTGTGGGCTTCCTGTGCTGTTTAATTTTACCTTAATTCTTTGTGTGGTGGAGGAGTCGAGTCGAGCAACAGCTTGAAGCTGGCCAGATTCTGGTTCCATCGATGTAGCCTCGGGAAGCAATGCTCACTTCTGAGGATGGGGTTTTCTTCATGTGGAAAGCAAAGGGCTCCAGTTGGGGCGGAAGTGGGAGGAGGTGTGGGGTGGAGGCTGGAAGCAGAGGAGAGGCCGTGTAGACCATCAGAGGACACCGGTCCCCACCACCCTCTGTCCCCCATCCTGCGGGGAAGCCACCTTCACAGCTGTGGGCCACCAGCCCCTGTCTCCACCCCTTACCTGGCCGCTCAGAGAGACCAAGGCCTACCTACCTTGGCCTGTGTCTACCTTCCACCGCCATGCCTCAACCTAATGTTTGTTGAGTGACCCAGTGATGAAATGGAAAAGCCACCCAGGCTCTTTTCAGGCATATTCAGGAGGAAGTTATTTGGGCTCATTTTTATTCTTTCATACTGTTTTTCAGACTAAAGAAGAAGACATACGAAAAAGGCTAAGGAGCGACCGACTTTTGTCCCCAGCCAATCATTCGGATGCAGCCCAGCAGGGTAGGGCTGATGTTCCCTTTGGCCAAGGACTGGATGCTGTGGGTTCGGTGGTGGTTGAGCCTCCCCAACCGCAGGGGGGAAGGCCCTTGAAGAGGAAGAAGAGCAATACATCCTCAAGTGAAAGAAACTTTGGTTATGAAGGGTTTGGGGTGGTGGAGTCAGACTTGTCCTACAACCAAGTGGATGATGTGTTTGAATAGGCCACCTTGCTGGAATCTCATGAAGCAGCACCCATTGTCCCTACTTGTGACACTCTCGTCTGTCTTGTGCTTTTCTGGAGGCCTGATCTCACCCCACTGGGATGCCCCGGGGGTAGGGGGTGAGGAAGGATTGTATGAGCTGCCCGAGCTGAACTCAGCTGAGGGAATTCGATGCCGATGCTGGCAAAAGGGGGGGAAAAAAAACAAGATTTGACTCACTTCCATATTATAAAGTTGGCTTTCTCCTCCAGTGAAGCTTTAGACATCGTGAAGATGTCTTTATGAATACTTTCCAGCTTATATCAATGTGCTTGTGCCAGATGAAACCCTTCTTTTTGGCTCTGGCCCCTGGGCTGTGCCCATCCTCTGAGGGTCCCTTCCGACAAACTACAGGGATGTGCTTTATGCATTTTAATGACCTGTATGCTTCTGATCTGTGTGTTCAGTTATTTCTTTTAACACTTTTCATGTTGGGAAGGGTTAAAGCAGTATCTTGAAGCTGGTGGAGTTATAGCTTCATCCATATAGTATAAGCAAACAATATCCAATTCTGAGAATTAAGTAAGAAGAAAGAAAAACTTTTGTTAGGTCTACGGAATGAGAGAGTCCAGGAGAGGGTGAGCTGGGAGGAGACCCTAGGCCAGTGTCTTGCTTCCCTGTGGGCACTCTGAGCTGAATTCCTGTCCCTTAGCTTCTTGGGATTAGGTTGGGTCCTTCCCTCTGCTTTACCATCCACATCCAACCACTGACGAGGTCTGATGCATCTCCATTGGGAAGATCCCCCCCACACCTTGTCACATGTATCCCCTCTCACCACCCAACCATCCTTCAACTGGATCACAATTCTTGTTGATCTTTATATCACAGTCCTCTGGTTAAAACCCTCTCTTGGGGGCACCTGGGTGGCTCAGTGATTGGGCGTCTGCCTTTGGCTCAGGTCATGATCCCGGGGTCCTGGGATCGAGTCCTGCATCAGGCTCCTCGCAGGGAACCTGCTTCTTCTCTGCCTGTGTCTCTGATTCTGTGTGTGTTTCTCATGAATAAATGAATAAAATCTTTTAAAAAAAAAAAAACACCTCTCTTGGCTTCCTTTCATTATCAAGATCAAGTCCAGACTCCTTTCTGCACCTGGTAAGGATCTCTGCTCTCACAACTCACCTGCACTGAACTTTTTATTGTCAAACTCAGCATGCTGTCCCTAGCCTTGGGGTCTTTGCGCAGGCTGTTCCCTTCTTCCCCCTCTTACTCCCACTACTTGAGCTGAACAGGCTAATGCCCTCTTGTTCATGTGCCCCCTCAGACCATTTCCTCCAGAGCTCCTGGTCAGGGTTGGTGCCCTTTCCTCATAGTCACCTTCTGGCACACTGGCCTGCTCATCTTTGCACTTGCCACCATGGGCTGTAATTGCCTGACACATTCGCAGCTTCCCCAACTAGATATTTCAATATTAATGGGACAGAAGAGGAGTCTGTTTTGTTCACGGTTGCATTTTCTTTTATCCCTCAGAAAGTGAATGGCATGTAAGTGCTGTGTGAGTATTTTGTTAGCAAGTGAGTCAGTGTACCCATACATCTTCCAGAAGCAGGACAGCTCTAGAAGACAGGAATCCCTGGCTGAGGGCAGTGCCAATTTGACTTGAGGACCGTGAGCACCTTCTGTTTATTCCCTTTGGAATTCCCTTTGGGATATTATGTTCCTATAGCCTGTAGGATTGACGACTCTTGCAGCCAGTGAGGTATGATGGTGGTGGTGGAGGGATTTCTTTCAAAACTCACTCCAGAACAAAACTTTTAAGACACTTCAGAGCATCCATCATACAAGTGCGATGTGGGGAGTCCTGGTCCAGGACTGTGTCTCCATCACCTCATATGTTAATTTGGGATAACCTCCTTTATGATGTACCAAATAAAATAATAGGTTTAAAAGTCCTGCTTCTAATCCTCCATGAGACAAAGAGAATTTTTTAAAAAGCTAACCAAACACATAGATAAGCATACAGATCATTAAAATGGCATTTAGAATATGCCATAATATTATAGAATATTATTTATACAAAATCCCATGTGAGCAACACGATGGTTTCCATGTGTCCTGAGATTTTTGTCTGGAGATTATCTTGTGGTGATATGTGCTAATCTTATAAAATTTCAGAGTAGCTAAAATAATTGCACTAGGCCACTTAGGGAAAGATTTGGGGGTCATTCCCATCTCTGTAAATAATAAAGTTTAAGTGACCAAAACATACATCCAATGCAAATGTAGAGTAACTATTGTAAATTAAATTCCCCAATTTGATAAATACCTCAATAATACTTTCTCTTGAACTTTTATGCTCTTTCTTATGCTAGCAATAGTGACTTGGGTGACCTGTCTGTTGAGTTAAAACACATGAACTCTAGGTGTGAATATCATCACTGATACCCTGGCTTGGAAACCTCTCTCCATATAGAGTCAAATACGCCAGAGTCACACATCCCAAATCACTAGCTGCATATCTACTCAGCAAGAAACACTTGGTCAAGGTGGGAAGTGAGGCCATGGAAACAGACACCTGGACACAGGGAAAGGCTCTACAGCTCTAAGCATATTAACTATTCACCAAAACAAGCGGAGATTTTTGGGATGAAGAAACAGGCTCAGAGGCTCTAAGCACCTCCCACCGTCACAGAGGGCCAGCATCCATTGGGGTGCCCCTTGCGTTTGAACTCGTGTGTGCTGCCCCCAGAGCTATCAACCCATCCCTACAACTTATTTCTTAACTTCAAATGTCAGTGTGACTTTCTTCCATGATCCTTTTTTTTTTTTTAACGGTGATTTATACTGAAGAGTGATAGAAAGGAAAGAGATTTCTAAAATATAGCCTCTGGGATCACATTAATTTTATGTGTTGAAATAACATCATTGGCTTTCTCATTCTTAAAACACAAAGTTTGGAACAACCAACAGGGTATTTTGACTCAAAGCCAACAACAACCTTCAGGAAGTCATGAGTCAGGAAGACAAGATTAAATCATTTTAACTGGAGGGGAACAGAAAAAAATGCCTATACAGATTTCCTTGTAAGAGATGATCTGGTCCCATCTAACGAAGGTAATCTTGATATTTAGCAAATCCTCTAGGTTTTTTAGGGGGAAGGGGGAGAGGAAACGCTTGTGGATAACTTATAACTAAAATAATATTTAAAGGGTATATTTAAAATATTGCACATATATTTAAAATAATACACTTTGTAAGATTCTTATGTTAGATCAAAAGTAACTTTGCAATCACAGGAACAAAAATAGAATTTATCCTAGAGTGTTTCTATAGTGACTACCAGTAATTTATGACTGGGCCTATTTCCGTGTTTTTTTATTCCTACTCAGTAAACAGCTAGTATTTGAAGTAGTAATTATGTGGTAAATACTGCATTTTAAAGATGTGTGATGCTATGGGGTGTCAGTGGATAGATCACTTTGCACTCATGTAACCTGTAGATGCCACACATCTCAGGTCAGGAAAGTACATTGTTTTTTTTTTTTTTTTTAAGATTGTATTTATTTATTCATGAGAGACACACAGAGAGAGGCAGAGACACAGGAGAGAGAGAAGGAGGTTCTCCTCCTTCCCCTGCGGGGAGCCCCATGAGAGACTAAATCCCAGGACCCCGGGATCACGCCCTCAGCCAAAGGCAGATGCTCAGCCACCCGGGTGCCGCAGGAAAGGGCATTATTTTAAAATGAACTGTGGGAGAGGACAACTATGGTCTCTCTGTGTCACTTGTATTTATTTCTTCAAAATAATAGCTGCCTCTTTCTTAAATTATGCAAGTAATATGGAATGGCAAAAACAGAAGCAAAAAGCACCAGGAATCCAACGTGGTGTCCTCTAGCTCAGATAACTGCTGGGAACATTTTGCTGGCCGTATTTCAACACTTGTTCTCTGCAAAAATGGACTCATGCTATATAAACTTTCTTCTGCAGCTTGCTTTTTTCACTCTTCCATGTAAATAAATCTACTTGAACAGTATTGTCCTTAATGATGTAATACCGTTTTCTTGTTTCATTATTGCTTTTCTAAGAGTTCCATGGCAAAAGACAGAATGCAGGTTCACTTTCTGTTTTTAAAAGGCTGATAAGTCAAATGACTTGAGCATTTCCCCAGTGAAAGCACAACGGTCTGAACGGCTGGAAGGGCAGGCTGCCTTGCTCGCTTTCCCGACAGGTGCTTTCTGTCCTGCTGTCCTTTCGGTGCAGGACGCCAGTGCAAACAAACACGAGGTTGGATGCAACCAGTTTTGTAGACCAACCTCCAGACTCTGCTCCTGACTTCGTGTCATTGTGATGACCAGTTAGCTCACAGAGACCTCAAGGATCCTTCAATAGCCCATGTGATTGGGACACCTGGGCGGATCCATGGTTGAGCGTCTTCCTTCGGCTCAGGTCATGATCCCGGGGTCCTGGGATCGAGTCTCACATCAGGCTCCCTGCAGGGATCCTACTTCTCCCCCCACCTGTGTCTCTGCCTCTCTTTCTCTGTGTCTCTCATGAATAAATAAAATCTTAAAAAAAAGAAAACACACACACACACACACACGCACACAGCTCATGTGATAGAAAACAAGAATGACAAGTACATCTTATCTCCAAGCTGGCTTTTCATAGATCGGGAATAAAGGAGAGCTGCATTTGCAAAGTATCGTTGACAGAAAAGCATTTGCAGTGAAGCATCTGAAACCTTTTCTCTCCTCATTCAGAAACAAGAAATTACAGTCCCCAAAATAAAGCGATTGGCTATTTTAAGCACAGAATGCCATCATTCTAAACATCAGGGTCAGGAAAGCAGTAATTCAATGCCTAATAATTTCTAGTAATTAATACATAAATCTCCTCTCCATGTAATACAAATCTTTCCCGGGAGTAAACACGACATATCATCTAAAATGTACATGACAACAATTCATGCCTTTTCCTCACTTAACTTAAAATAAGCAGCAATGCTCACTTGTTCGGTGGGAGAA